GGGTAAAAGGAATTATTTGTAGGACTGATAAAGGACAATTAAGTGTGGAAGTAAAAGAGTTTGTTTTATTAAGTAGGTGTTTGAGACCCATTCCCAGTTCTTACTACGGATTTAGCGATACCGAGGAAAGATTTCGCAATCGGCCTTTAGATTTTATTATTAATAAACAAAAAAAGGAAATCTTTTTCACTCGCCACCAATTAATCAAGAACATTCGCCAGTTTTTAGAGGAAAAAAAATTTATTGAAATTGAGACTCCCATTCTGGTTTCGGAGGCTTCCGGAGCGCAGGCTAAGCCTTTCATTACTCACCACAACAAGTTACACCGAGATTTTTATTTGCGAATTGCCACTGAAATACCCCTCAAAAAACTGTTGGTGGGTGGCTTTGAAAAAATTTATGAAATCGGTCGAATTTTCCGCAATGAGGGCATAGATGCTCGGCATAATCCTGAATTTACTACTGTTGAGGTTTATCAAGCCTATGAAAATGCGGAATATATGATGAATTTGACAGAAGAATTATTTCATTATTTAGCCGAAAAAGTTTTTCGCCAACAAACGGAATTTACCTTTAATTCTTACAATATTTCTCTTAAAAAACCTTTTCGCAGACTGTCAATGATCGAAGCGATTAGAGAACACACAAACATAGATTTTGCCAAAATAAATGGTTTAGAAGAAGCCTATAAACTGGCCCAAAAATATAATTTAAAATTAGAAAAATTTCAAAAAACCACTGGACATGTTATCTTGGCCTTTTTTGAGGAGTATGTAGAACAAAAGTTAATTCAACCCACTTTTATTTATGATTATCCAGTAGAAGTTTCGCCCTTGGCTAAAAGCAAGCCGGAAAATGAAAAAGTTGCTGACCGATTTGAACTTTATCTTGGCGGATTAGAATTTGCTAATGGCTATAGCGAGTTAAATGACCCCGCAGAGCAAAAAAAAAGATTTGAAGAACAAACCAAACAAAAAGAATTAGGGAATGAAGAAATTGCCAGTTTTGATAAGGAATTTTTGGAAGCCTTAGAGTATGGTATGCCCCCAGCCGGAGGGTTGGGGATTGGGATAGACAGGTTGATAATGTTGTTTGCGGAGCAAAATAGTATTAAGGAAGTGATTGCATTCCCGCAGTTGAAAAGTAAGAAAAAGGTTTAAAATAAAACTATTAAAAAAATTACATCTTCATTTTGTCGGACGAACCGGAGAATAAGAATACATTCTTGTCGGTGAACTACCCACCACTTATAGAAGTGGGGGCTTCTCGGTTCCTAGACAAGGCTATCACCTAGTCTCCCCGAAGGC